AAAAAGTGGATAAATGCATTTAAGAAAAACAGATTCAACGTTAAAAATAAGAATGAGAACACCACATATACGTCGTTCCCCTATATCAAGGGAACATTTGAAAAATACAAAAAAATTTTCAGTAAGCATGGTGTTACACTAGCAGCCAAATTAAAAAATAAAATTAAAAACAACATCAACACCAATAAGTTCAAAAATAACGAAATACTAAACCAAGCAGGTGTCATATACGAAATAAAATGCACATGTAAGAACCCAGCAATATACATTGGCGAAACAGGAAGACAACTCGGTACCAGAATTAAAGAACATAAAGCAGCAATTAGACTTAATTATAACCAATCACCGTGGACAAATCACTGTAAGGAATTTGGATGCACAATAAATGAAAAAAGTATAACAATTATTCATAAAGAAAAAGATATTTATCTAAGAAAATTCAAAGAGCACTTCGAAATCATTAATAAAAACAAAACCATAAACCTAAATGATGGAATGGAGGTAGACGACGCGTGGGAGGAAATGGGAGGAGCTAAAGGGAAAGGGAAAAGAGGGGGAAACGGTCTAAAAATGCCTTAGGGGACATAACATCAACACTGGGCAGATGTCGATCTAAAACTTAAAACAGGTTAGTTAACCATTGTATAACTATTGTAGTAATTTACCGATGTAATAATTAAATTTACCAAATTTATAGAAATGTAAAAATCCTGAAGAGGGGTGCAAATTAAAGAAAATATTGCACCCGAAATGCATAGAAAATAAAGAATATGAATAAAAGCTTTGTCTCTGATTAAATGCGGTCCAGGCACAAAAACAGGGGTTATTTAGGTACAATTAACCCATAAAGTTTTTTTCATCAATTTTGAGGAAATATTTTTGAAAAATTGATTTTTTAAAAGTAATATAAAGTAAACCGCACCATGGATATATACATATCTATTACTTATAGCAGAAAACTTTCTTTTTTTCTGAAAACAATGATCATTAATAACAGTACATACTTTTCATTATTCAAATTTACTTCTACTCACCTCAAACCATTATCAGTTATCTGATAACATCCAGATAAACTAAGAAACCTTAATCCAGTAGCAATCTGTACACTTTCACAGGAATTTGATTTTGTGGGAAACGTCCTTTTCCTGTATACTTCTTCCAAATTTTTTGTCCTTGAATAAACTGATCTCTGTTTATATGTATTGAGAGAATCACAAGCAATGCTCTGACAACACAAACCGGCTGAAAAAAACGGGCACTGTCTCGATAACATTTCTAATTCACACAAAACAATGTCTTCTAATATGTCTGTCTGTAAACATTTTTGCTGAATGCAAGCAGTCTTTGATATCTTTATATTCTTTTTATCGCCTTTCCGAACACTTGACGATCCTTTAACACATATGTCGCCAATGGCATTTTCTGACGAGTATATTTCTGCCGAATAGAAGCATTCGCTCAGACGATATAAACCCAAGTCGCCTAATTCACAGCACCCAGATAAATCAAGATGCTTTAGATTTAAGCAAGCATTTGTCTTGATTAGGCTGTAAGTAGAACAGAGTAACTAGAGAAACTTTAAAATTTGTTTAAAAAAAACAAATCTGAAGTTAACATTAGAAACTTACCCTTTGAATGCAGAATCAGTAATATTCGTATAGGATACGTCAAGAAAAGAGAGATTGGGACAAAGCAGAAGAAATGAATGCAACTGAAAGAAAATTTCAGTAATGCAGAAATAGTATTAAAACATAAAAATTAATATTTCTTATAAAAATTATTTTGGATAAGATATAATGATAAAATTTACTATTTTGAGAATAAACTACACCTGTCTTTCGGCATTAAAGGTTGTTTATTTTAAAATATTTAATTATAAACAAATACTTTTGACATTTCAAAATGTTATCATCAAGCAAATGTCAAAAGTATTTACTTGTAGTTAAATATTTTCAAGTAAACAATCAAAAGACAGTATAGTTTATTCCTATTCTAAGCTTGGCATTGTTTGAGAGTATATTTTATAAATTTGCTATTAGTTATATAGCATTCTTTTTACATATAATTTTAAATTTATTTATATCTTACTGTAGATATTCTTCAACAAAGTAAACAGAAGTAGCAATTCTAAAGAAGGACACTGGAAAAGATTCAATCTATGAATCTTTCCCAGTGTTCTTTCAGTGTCTAAGACACAATTTGTTTCAAGTTAGAAAATTTGGTATTCTTAGTGTACAAAAGGAGGGAAATTAAACTATTGTAGTATTTGTAAAACAAGAGCCAGTTGAAGTATACAATGCTTTTATTGAAGTCAGCTAAGTCTAACCCAAATCTAATTACTTCTGGAGATGAAGTGTATGGTAAATTAATTTATTGAGAAGTATGAGGACCAAGATACAAATATAGTAGTCAATTATTAATTGGAAGTTTGTGAAATATAGGTTCTTAGTACAGAATGAGATAAAACAGTTNGGCTGTGCATGACTGTCCTCTCCATAACTCCACCGAAGGAGGCCTCTCTCGCATCATTGGTTTATGCAGAAAAAAATAAGGTCCGATACTTTTTGAACAGACCTTGTAAAACAAGGAGGAAAAAGAACTCATTAAAATTTATAGTTTGATTATCTTTTGGATTATCTACAATATCCCTGTTTATGTTGTTGAAAATGCATTAACAATTTCCTACAAACAACTCATTAAGAAAAAACTGATTTGTTCAACCTAACAGAGCACAGAGAATTTAATAACAATAATAGTAATAATAGCAAAAAAAAAAAAAAAAAAAAAAACAGTATTAATTTTTGTAATTTATCAATGAGAGTTTTACACAGCTCAAATTTATAATATAGTAAAGCCCGACTAAGATGTAACCTTCAAGAGAAGAAACCTTGCTTAAAGCAAAACTTTTCAGTATTAACAACTCTTATTAATACATAGACAGCACAGTTACATGACAAATGTTAATTATAATAATGGGACTATTCTGCACACAACATTGTACTTAGCAAAGGAAGTTTTAGCAGACCAATGTCAATTGTATAATGACAGATTAGTAGCTCTGAAAGCCTACATTCATAAATCATTACAACTTGCCAATAATGCAGAAAAACGAAGACACGTTTATTTTGACCAAATCCAGTTCCAAGAAACATTCTTGCCTTCTGGCAATGAAATTCCAAAAAAGGAAAACAGTCCTGTAGCCAATCAGCCATTGAAGGACAAAGACAAAAGAATGACAATAAAGTTCCGACACGAGCCAAATATCATACCGTAGTTTTCCACAGTTCTTTTGAGACAACTACTTATCAGAAGAAAACCCTCATGTTAGACAAAATAGTCAAGGCAATATCTCTCAGTAAGGTGTAAAAGAGATTGCAACACCCAGATCATCTTCAAATCAACAAAAACTCAATTTACAACATTTTAAAGTGGCAACTGAACTTCCTATTAAATACTGGAGGTAATATACTTCCTTCTATCTGTATAAAAACCTTCCAAATCTCCAGTGATACTCGTTTAAGCAAACGTTTTCGACCCTACCAGGGTCTTCATCAGGCCACCGTTACAAAATTTTAAAGTGGAAAATTAAAATTCATTGAGAATTGCAACAACAAAATGATTATTTTGAGTGGAAGATTGGAAAAAAGTAAAAACAAATCAATAAACTGGTATTTAAGTGAATTGTAATTAAAATCTGCAACCTTCTGTTCAAAGAATGGCTACATTTAAGAACTGCATCTAAATAGGTTGGATTATGACCATTACCACTCAATCACCTAACTGATCTAGCTAAGTCCATAACAAGTTCATTTTCATTCCCATAGAATGAAAAGAAATTCTTAAAAATATGTTTACAAATACAATTACTTAAAAGTACTTAGTTCTATAATAATCTGAAATTTAAATACTACTAATAGTGGATAGAAGTATTCAAAGAATGCATTGTTTTTAGTATCAATTGCTTCTCAAAAATACTTTTATTTTCTATAAAAATCACTATAATTATTATTTTCTTTAAGTAAACAGTAGATATTTAATATTTTAAAAATTCTTCTCTGTAAGCTCTTGTTAAAAAGAAAAAAAAGTCAATAGCATTTCATTTATGAATCATTCTTTAGTTTTTGAAATCATTTTATTAATTATAGATTCTAAAGAGATGAGGCAATTCAAAAACACTATTGAAAGTTTACATCACACTACACCCAAGCATATTTGTTTTATTATTTTGGAAATACTTAACTTATAATCTGGTTTTCAATACAATTCTAGAAAATTATTTATTATTTTAATATCGTTTACTTTCATATGCAGAGAACAAAATTCTAAATATAAAAATACAATTGTAAAAAAATGAATTGCAATTAATTACAAATTATTACTACTAATTGAATTTTTCCTGCAAACATCCTGCTTAAAATATATTGTAATGGATATTAATTAATGCAACGTTCATAATTTCTAAGCAATTAGCATTAGTGTGATTAATAATATAATTGAAAAATTTTTTTTTCTACTGGAAATGACGAAAGAAGTTTTGAAAATTAATTGTTGTAGATCTAGGAGAGACAAATACTTAACAAGCAAAAATAATACAATGCAACTGTAAACATGCATACAATAAAGTCTTGTTTACACTATTTAATATAGTTTTCATTTAATATTCTCAAATTTTCAACTTGAAAGCAATTTCTAAGGCAGAAAAATTATTTACAAAACATTATTCTATTTACGTAGATAATTTACGTATTTATTTACATACTTTCTTCCTTATAAATAATAAATTTATGTAAATGAAATTAGTTTTGTCTTGGCAAATGATAATATCAATTCAAGATGCTTGTTGATTTCTTAATTTTAATACATATAAATTCAAATTAAGTATTTTTTTCCTTTTGTGATTTTGATAAAGACAAAATAAAAACAGATTTAAATAAATTAAGAATAAAGAAAAGTCATTAAAATTTCTTATAACAGGATCTGGAAAACCTAACCGTGTCAAATTTTCCCCGCGGGCAACTCGGCCATTTTTAAAGCACTCTGGCTCTTTAAAGTCTTTTTGGGACTTCTGATGGCCAAGTTTGCAAGGCACGGCACAGTCAAACATTAGAATTCCCATACAAAAATAAAAAGGTGTTAACTTTATCACGTTCCGAAGACATAAAAAGCCATTTATAATAAATTCTCGGTCAAGTCTACGCAAAAACGTTACACAATGGGAAACGCAGAGCATACTATACCGAATTCGGAACTTATTGGTGCAAACTTCAATACCTTTCTTACAATCACTTCAGACACATTAAGGGGCAAAACTATCCTCCCAGACACAACCGGCTATGTAGGATTTGGAGTTAAGAGCCCAAAGGGGACTTTCCGACGTGCAAGAAGAACAACGTCACGTGTCGCTCCGGTAAAAAAAACCCACAATCCGAAAAACTAGAATGTTCTGAGGAAAGAAACTCTTCCAAAAAAAAGTAGACGAGCAACCGATTTTCAATAATAGACAGTCCCATAAAGTCCAACATATTTTGACGAATAGTTTAACAAATTATTTATCGAACGCGTGGCCGTCGCCCGAAGCGGGTTTCGAGTCCAACGCCACGGTTCGAAGACACAAATTTGCAAGGTAAATTATCACCAAAGTATCGTTCCGGTCAAGGCCAAGAGAAAAAAAATTCCATATAATCATTTATTTATGTAGCAATCCAAATAACTAACTTATAAACAAATCTGTATTATATATATATTGCCCTTTACCAGATTTTAAAGCCTTAAAGGCGTAAAAATCCAATTTTAAACTACAGAAATTTGTTAAAACGACGAGATAGACGGATAAAAACAAAACATTTTAATTAAAGGTAAGAGCGAATACTTCATTATATATTTTTTCTCGATCATCCAGGCAATTTGTGCGTGTAAAATTTAATTAATTATAATCGGAAGCAGAAGAGAGACTCTGAGTAAAAAAAATTCTCCATTGATTTCCACGAAAACACGAACGAGTTAAGGTGAAAAGGGTCGAGGAGGAGAAGAACGTCATCGACCTTCGCCAAACGACTCGACATTTATCAATTAAACAGGCACAGAATTCGAACGGACCAATGGAAATCCGCGATATTAAGTAACGGGCCAATGACGGAAAGGGTTACATCGAAAAAATAAGAGGAAAAACTTTACCAAACTTGTCCGTAGGCACCGGAGCCGACTGGTGATAAGTTTTGATATCTTTCGGGCACCTCCCAAATTGTTCTGTTCAGCTCCACGCGAACGAAACCCGTTTTCATCTTTACCAGTCAAATGTTCTTTTATAAATGGCACAGATAATCGCCGACACGCTTTATATTATCCACGTCTGGCCGATCGACTGAAAAAACAACTACCTCTCCGCACTCTCCTCTTCCATTTTGTATCGCGACGTACGAGACGTCGACGGTAGTTCGAAAAATTCCGACTAAATATCGCCAAAAAAAAATAATAATAATTCTTTTTAGATTCTCGAAGACGTTTTTAAACGAATTAATACGTTTTGAGCTTAACGAGATTAAAATATTAATTCTAAATTTTTTCTTGTCTACGTTTTATTTCGGTAGGATACTTCCCGGAAACGTATTACGTAATTTCCGTTCGATGTCGTTCTCCATTACGTGTATTTTACTTGGCAAGGGTTTTAGAAACGACGCCAGAATCGAAAAGTTCGCGAATAAAAATTTCAAATTTGAATGCCCCGTTATTTTTATACACGCTAAAGTAAGAACGTGTAGAAAAATTTTAAAATATTTTTTTAGAAATTAACCGTTGTCACTAACGATGTCTATGTACGGTACCGGTACATTAATCGCCGACACTACTTGTGTGTAGAGAACGAAAGTAAAATAAAATCTTAATAAACCTTTAATAATTAAAATTGTGTGTGATTGTATTGCGGATGAAGTAAAGTAAATAATACAAACGAACAAATTTTTTAAACTTTTCTCTGGTTTAAGCATTAAACAAGGGTTCTTTTCCAAAGATTAGCGCGAGGTTCGAACCATACTCTATGAAAACGATTAATTTTACCAAATGTTTAAAAATATCCGGAGCAATTTTTCTCTAAGTTCCTTCACCTTCCATAGATAATGATTTTTATACAATTTTTCGTTAATTAACACTTTAACACGTCTGTTTTACTTTAAAACACTACTGGGGCCGACCATTTGTGGGATCAAGAATCCTATCCCTTCTCTTAGGCTTTTAGTATTTTAAAACAGTGAATTCACTATGTTTTAACATGTTTTCATTAAATTTTAAAAATACTTTTGCTATATTAATTGGATTTCATATAGAAATTATGCGCTGAATAATACGTTACATATTGCCATTGCAGAACCTCCGATGACATGTTTATGTTCTTCTCTTGTCAATTAGTTCCCTTTATTTAAAGTAAATATTCAAGCGTATTGACTTTTCGTTGTTGGCTCTTACATCTGTACAGATCTTTAACTGTAATTAAAAAAAAAAAAAAATTATAATTGAACCCCCGTGTGGAATCTTCAGATAACCGATATATGTAAAGATAATGGGAACTTTAACCATGCCATGATGGAATCGTCGGATGACGAGGATGGGGCCTAACGTATCCACATGGAAAACAGCGGATTTTCAGATTGGATGAACGTATCCAGTCTGAAAAAATTCTCGGGTTTTTCCACCCATTCGGATTTGGTCCAGGGTATCCAGAGTAGTAGGCTGCAGCCATTTTGTCATCCGTGGTCACCAAGTGCTTTTTCATCCGTACTTATTGTGGGGAAACGGAGACAAACATACCACAGACATAAAATTCTCATTGGCTACCGGGATTTGATCCAAAGTCCTCCAGAGAGGTATGCCAATGCCTTAACTGTCTCCATCATTTGGCAATCATCTTGGACTTACAATACAGGAAATAATAAAGATGATGTATCACTTGAGCTAATAAAGATCATTGTTATTGCTGATCTGTGTATAAAATTATCATCTACTTATTCCTGTACTTGTAAGAAAGTCTACCTCTTGCTTTATCATTACTAAGGCGTTCCACTTTTAACTTCCTAGCTTATAACGAGATCTTACGCTTCTAATAAGTCACCACTGTTGAATGGGCGAGAGGTCGAAGTGGCAGTCTACCATCGCTGGGATCAAGACCAGACGGGTCAAAATGTACAGGAATTTTTTGATGGACCATCTGTTAGACTGCGTCGCCAGCCTGGCCAAACCTGTGATTAGTTTCAGAAAATAGGGATGTCTTAGTGCCCGTGGCCAGAAAATTAATATATAAATAAATAAGACCATTATTTTTTCATTTTGAGATATTAATTTTTATGGATAGCTTAACTGAAGAATGACAGGTGTATAAGTAAATTTTAATGAGGTTAACAGCATACAATCACCAATGTATGCTTACCTAAATAAATTCACGATCATCTTTATATACTGATTCTATTTTCACAAGTTCATTTAATAAAATTGATGAAAAAAATGTTCACATTATATTTGAATCTCTTGCAGTGAATTTTGAAATTATCATTTATTAACCACACTAGAATGCTGCTTATTTTTCAGTCATCCCTTCACGGTATTGTTGAAATTTGGGGATCAAGTTTTGTATAAATTTCAATGTTCCTGCTCTTTACAGATGTATGTATTATTTATGATTTTAGTGTTATTTGCTTTTTATTTCACTTCATATGTATCAAATTATACAATTGTGTGCCATATAATACACCAATATCATTTAAATTATAAGAAAATTATTAAGTCAAATAATGAAAATTTCTTGAATTAATAAGGAATTTGGTATTATTTGGCTTAAATATAAATTTATACAAAATGCACTTATGTATATTTTTACTATTCGTAGAAAAAAAAGGAGTTGGGAAAATATCAAAAATTATTAACAATTCTCTAATGAAATAATAATAAAATATGGGGTCTTCTAAAAATGAATGCTGTCATTTTAAATTACTGTAATTATGTTAATTATTACATAAAAAGTATACAACATACACCAATCTCCTGTCTGTATCAAACATCTTGTTGTCTACTGTCTCTAGGAAGCACTGTGAAAGAAAGTTGCAACACTAAAGCGAAGGTATTTTGCAGTCTGAATCACTTGTCATTGTGCGATGAGAGTAATTTGCGAGAACCACAAAATTGTGACTGACGTGAGGAGTGATGATGGATATGATGCAGTGAGCATAGGAAGAATTTCAGTATCAGTGGGATGTGGGATTTGAGGTGCATGCATCGAAAAATTGAAAGGAGCAAATGTGAAACTTGGACGGCTTTCAATGGTTTAACTCTTTAAATACAAGATTGGCCCAAAATTACCTTTATCCATTGAAGATTAAATTGGCCAAAGGAAAATTTGTTTGACTGGTTTTGCCATACAAATTTCCCTCGCACCCTGAGAGATAAAACAATTTTGTCTTCAGGTACATAACAATTTCAAAATTGCTCAGGAATTAAATAAATAGAAAGAAAACACCTTTTTTTGCTGAGAAATAAATGTAATTGTAAAAAACAAATGTTTTCAGCCCAATTAATAGAACTGATGTGTAACTATTTAAACAGCCTTCTCCCATCCTACTTCTGTATATTTCGATCTTCTCCGCTGTCAGAAGTAGGATAGGAGAAGGCTGTTTAAATGCGAGGGATGCCGAGAGCCTGCCTTCAGCATGGAAGTACTTGGTTAAGAAATTTACTGGAAANTCAGCTAAGTCTAACCCAAATCTAATTACTTCTGGAGATGAAGTGTATGGTAAATTAATTTATTGAGAAGTATGAGGACCAAGATACAAATATAGTAGTCAATTATTAATTGGAAGTTTGTGAAATATAGGTTCTTAGTACAGAATGAGATAAAACAGTTTTACAATATTTTTAAGATTTTTAAATATTCTTACATTGTAGGTATTATTAGCAAAACTAAAATAAAATTAACAAAAAAATATGGATAAAAAAGTGCTTACTAAACTACTTGTAAGTCCTCTGGATGATGTCAACACAATTTTATGAACGCCAATGCCAACTTTTGGTAGAAGGTATTTAACGAGCGAATTCAGGACTTTATTTTCTCGTTTGATGGATTTAATTTCGTCGGCACATGAGCAGTCGTCACTTCCGCAATCAACATTACAGTCCGAGTCATTATCGCCGGATTCATCATAGTCTGCATCTTCATCGAGAAACTTATAATTCTTTAAATGATAATTATTCGTCAGTGGAAGATAAGGTTCGATTAGGTCGAATTCTGTAATGTTCCACTTTCCTAAAACAAAATTTCTTGTAAGTTATTCAGAAAATGCACAGTGAAATTAATATATTTAATAATTTATTAGCAAAACAAAAAGTTTTGATGTAGAAATTCTCTAATTCATTGAAAAAATTTTATTATTCAATTTAAAATTTATGATAAACTTTCTGAAATTTCCTCAAATTGTTGGACTTGTATTAGCTGAAGAGAGACATTTGTGATGCACACCATGCATAATATAGTATGTTAATGTGTTTGATAAATAAATTAAAATAAATATTAAGGTGTAGTCAGCACAAGGAGATATTGCACCTGGTTAATACTAATGAGCGAATGGCAGGACATTGGAGGTCACCGATTATGATCAAACTCAGTGAGGTTATAGTGCATCCCCAACAATTGACAAGCAATAAGGTTCAATACTCAAAATTAAATGCGAAAATTGAGGTAAAAAATTGCAAGTCACTTAAAACCTTCAGAATTCTCATCATTTAGAGTGGCCGGTAACTGGGAAAATAGAGGAGAGCCAGAAAGGTGATTATGAATTTAATAGTCACACACCTTTTTCTAAGCACATTTATATCTAATAGCAAGTTTACAGAGTTCCATTAAACTTGCTATTAGATATAAACGATGTGAAGAGTACTACCTCATCCTGTCATCTAATCTTTCCTAAAATAGGCACACGTTATACTGACCAAGTGCAATCTTATTGCTCAGCCTATAACAACATACCTAAAAATTTATTTAAAAGAGTATACTTTGCTTAAGTCATTCTTTGAACAAAACGAAAATAATTCTACTTGAGGAACATACCATAATTAAAGTTCGAGGAACATGAAACTGCAAAGTATCGAACGTCTACCGATTGGCCCACAAGTGCAGGAACTGCTAAAGTTATGCCTCTCCTTTCCCAACTAAAATAATATTGTCTGTAGATGCATGCATATAATGAATAAGCAGGTATACAAGTTCTATAACAATTTGCATCAGACAGCTATTTTAATATACTGGTTTTCTTAGGTAACCTTTTCATTCCAAATGTCCTTTATGTTGTATTTTTGTCAAATATAATGTTTCAATTTATTTATCAAACAATTTTTTTATAAAAGAAAAATAGAATTTTAGAATATGTTAAATATTCATTATCAGTAGGAAGAACAAATTCATATGTATTCAGTTAAATGGCACAATACAAAGCATATTTTGTGATTGTGTAACATGATGAGCCATTTTCTAAGGTACAGACACTTTGGACTTCATATAATATCAAAGTTTAAATTTCAGGAATTAAATTTAATTTAAAAGTTTTTCCTCATAAGCAATAAAAACAATAAACAAATTATGTATTTCATTTTCATAAGAAAGAAAACATTAATAGTGAAAATAAACTGAAGTTAATTCTCACATTTTTAGAAGAAACATTAAAAGCATTAAAAAATTGTTTTTGTTTGAGAAATTATACAATATTTGTGTTATAATAATAAAATGACACTTAAAATGTGTTATATATTTTTGATGTTGTTAAAATCAGAACTATAGTTCATAATTCATAGATAACATGTACTTAAAATGTTTCGTAAATGAATTTATCATCATCAAAAAATTTGACGATAATAAGATTAACTAATTACCTGTAATTTTTACGTAACAATATCAAATTTGACATTAATAATAGCATTAAAATATTTAGTTATATCTCAATATTGACTATCTGAAAAAAGTTATTTGCTTTATGATACAACTTAATCCTTATAAAATAGTATTAACTAATAAACAGAGCCAAAAATAAATTCTCTCAAGTTAATAAATTATAACTTTCTGTAAGATTTATTAAATTTGCTATTTCAATTTAAAATAATTTTAAAAGCTGTAAGATAAATTTACTTTTAAATCTTTTGGGTTTGTTATAGGGGCAGTAATCAAATGCTGTCAAAGCAATAAACATAAAAACAGAAATATTTGCTTGAAAATTTTTAATTCTAATTTTTAACCTAATAATTTAAATTAAAAAAGTGCAGTTATCTTTCTATTAAAATGAAGGAAGGTTTTTTGTTTCATGCTCACTAATTTTCTGTATAGGCTAAGTCCATTTAGCAAATGCTTAAAAATATATTGAGCAATGATGCAAGACTTATTAAATCTTTTTAAAAAGACTTAGTTTTAAGATAGTATATGTTTAGAAACAAATATCATGTTTCTAAACAAATATATGTTTAGAAACATGATAAGAAGAAAATCCAATTAAAAAGAAATTGGCAATGTAAAGAAGAAGTCACAGTTAATAAATAAAAAACAGCACACCTCTGAACCTTAAACATACAATTCCAGAATAGTTTAATGCAGATAAAAAACAAACTTTTTGATCTACATAGGCGATCTTCAGGTTATAGCATTCTCAAATAGAATGCAGAAAATAGAACATTCTTAAGATTATTGAAAAAAACGTATAAACGAGAATTTATTTTAAAAATATTTGTAAAAATTCTTGTTTATACATTAAAAAAAGGTTTTTTTTTATATTGACTGTTCCTGTTGGTATAAAGATTGCCAGGCATAAGATAATTGTTCTTCATCTTTGAAATTGATAAATGTTTTCAAAACATTCTCAAGTTCCAAATCTTCAGACTATTAGTCATTGAAAGTAGATTATTTTGGATTATATTATAATTNTTTAGGCGAGTAAGTTGAGTTTACTATCGTCTGTACAGTACGTAAATTTGTTACCGTAAGTCTAATACAGCCCTAATTTTATACATTTCTTGTGAAAGAAACATTTCTTATTCAACGGCCATAAAAATTATTTATATTAATGATGTCTCCAAAGTTCAACAAAGTTTTCGCAGAAAAATAACTTATCAGAAATCACGCCCGCCGTTTGGTGTGCTGCTCTGCGACGAAAACAAGCTTAAGCAATGATGTTGAACGCTGCACACTCAGTAAGTAATCCTACAATTTTTTGTTTATAGCATAGTTTATACGGATTATTCCCAAAAAAATATATGTATTTTGGAAATGTTGAGTCAAATTAGTCTAGGAATTGATTAATTTTATGGAAGAAAACCTTTCAAACAGCCGTAGTCCCTAAACTTCACACGTGTCGGGCTGTGATTGGCAAGGACTCGTACAAAATGGACTCAAAGAACGAAACGTATCTACCGTGTTATAGGGGGTCGACTGTATTTGGCTGTCTTGGCTACTTTATTATTATTATTGTTAAATTTTTGTTTGTTTTAGCTGGCATCAACGGCTCGACCATTGAAGGGAGGCCAATATTTAAACGAGACTTAATTTTCTAATTATGAGTGGTTATTTGCTTTGTGAGCAATAAAATAATTCAAAGATAATTTTTAACGATACAATAGCGATGATTATTATTTTTTTTAAAATTTTGTTAGGCTTAACATCAATGAAAATTCAACACGAAGTAGGTTAACAGAAATATACTAATACACTAATTACATGGGATATACTAATATACTATACTAATAATGTATTTTTTTTTCATTATTTTCGGTTATCCGATTTTTTCAGTTATCCGACTAACTCGAGTCCCCAATTGAGTCGGATAATCGATGCTCTACTGTATTACATTAGCTTTCCTAACCATGCTGATTGATTACCACTACCAAATGGGATTGCCTAATATTCACAAACCCTTGATAACTGTTGTCCAATCATAATTACACACACTAATATATATCAGATATAGCCACCACTGCTTCCAGAATGGTGTCAACAGATCGCTTCTATTACCAGTGCTCTTGTATGAACAGTCTATAAGCTATACAGTACAGTTACAAGACTTCATTGTGTTTTGGCTTATTACTTTTTTCACCATTTGTAAGTTTTGACTGCTCATTTTATGGGTTTAGGCAGTTGCCTTGTCAAACTTTTTGCTTATTAATTTATAGGGCAAGTTTGTCAAATTGGCCCTATAAATTAGGATGTTTTAGCTAGCAAAATGGTATAAAATCAGAAAAAAACATTTATTTCCAATTTTTATTTTACAATTTGAAGTCTGGTCCAGCAAATTTCAGTATTGGCTAGGTTAGGAAGCCATGATATTTCAAATTTATTGAAATATAAACATCACAAACTCGACACCAAAGTGTATTAACAAAATCTTCAAATCTGTTACCGATGTGTTCTTCCACGATGACAAAATATGCAAAAAATAAATAGTTTGTTACTAACATTTTCGAACCAAAAAAAAAGGTTCTTCTTCAGGTAACATTGAATTCCTGATGGAATGCCAATCAAAGAAAACAAATTTGAAATTCAAACATGCAGTTTCCCGATTAAGTCTTCTTAGGCATGCACTCTCAAGTGATTGACAGTAATCATAGATTTTTGTTCATAAGTGCCTGCCATGCTACTGATAAAGTTATTTCTTCTTTTTGATTGATGCAGTTATTACTGCTAAGTCTAGCTATGTATATGCTGGCAGCCTCTAACCACCTGAGATGTTGTGCATGCTGTGTGGTGTGGATAATTCTGGCCTAATTAAAATCCGGTTCTATATCTGGATCTGATGCATAAATGGCCATAGCAGTAATTATCCTTTCATTCTATATATCAGAATGAAAGGACAACCATTGCTGGATTTTACAAAAAGTAAGCCTCGTTTAATAATTTTCACTTTGGTCACATATTCAGTATATTTTTCTCTTGTGAAAATTATCATGAAAAAAGATACAATTAGTACAATTTTTATATTGCACTATTTTCACTTTTATTTACCACAATGTATTCAAAGTATCATTAAATCTGTTTTTCACTATCTTCTATTTCAGTGTTCCGCAACCGGTGTGCCGTAACATGGTGAAAGTTTTACATTAGTGCCGTAACATTAGTGAACTTTTACATATTCTGTTATTTCAAGTTTTATTTATGTATTTTTATCACAGTTGTTGTGTTTCTTATGCTTGTATTTCATTCTCTGCCGCAGCATTGATAAAATAAGATGATGCTTGTTTATTCTTTATTACAAGCCATGCATTTTTATGTATTCT